CCATGCTGGCTGGGGAATTCTGGGAGTTGAAGTCCACACCTCTGTAAGTTGCCAAGGTTGAGAAACAGTCCTAATAAAATGGATATTTGAAGTTGCCACCTCACTTTCTCTCTATTCTCTTCCGTTGCTCCCCAATCAGTGCATTCAGGCAGTCAGAGAAATTCTCCCCCAAAGTCACCGTTGTAAGATATTTATTGACATTCTCAACCTCCACTCTTTCGGGATTAGAGGCCCCTTTCCTCCACATTCCAGGCGTTATCGATTCAGCCAGAGGCGGCTTCCTCTCGAAAAAAGATACGGCCCCCAGTTTCGCTCCGTGCTGGAAGGAAGGCAGAGCTATCGAGATCTTTGAGAAAGGGCCTCCATCTGCCCGGTGACCAGCAATGTTATTTTATTTCTATTTAAAAAAAAAAAATCAGGCCTCTCACCCTGGGCGCAAGCATTTTGCAATTTGCCCACGCCCGCTGGTGCTTTTCCCATTTTCGCCCATCGACGGGAATACTCCCTCTGCCCTCTCCGGGGCGGAGGGGGAGCAACCCAGCAGCGGCCCCAGAGAAATAAAGCTCAGACATATTCTGCACAAAAGTCCCATTTTGGCACCCGAGGCGTTCCTCAGACCACCCTCCCTGACACCTCAACGTTTGGGGTCCAAAGTTGGATCCGTGAAATATTGCTCATCAGGAAAAAAAAAAAAATTAGGGATGGGAGAGATTCCCCTGCATATATATTCCATCAAAATGCATGGCCCCCCTCCCTTAGAATTTCCCTGGGTAGAAGGGGGACAAATATAAGGTTTAAATATGAGAAGAGCCTCCAGACAGCGCAGTCCTCCCTTTCGCGGCTGGAAAGAAGGCAAAGCCGACGGGCGCCCCTGAATTCTTGGAACCGGGTATTTCTGAACAAAAGGCACCCTTAAAATTCCTGACTCCCCCACCCCACTTTTGAGTGGAGCCCTCGGCACTGTTGCCTGGCTCAGCCTGGAAGGGAGGGCACGTTTTAAAATAGTTTGGCAATTTTTCCCAGAAGGGGACCCGCTTGGGGGGTGTAGGAAATGGGATCTGTCTTTCCGTGCATGGCAATCCCCCCTCCATTGGCACATCCCGTCCCCCCAGATCCATCCAAAATCCTCGCACGAGTGGCTTTCGCCCAACGTGGCTGCAGCTGGTTGCAGTATTTTGAACCCAAGTTGGCCTTTTGATAGCTTCACACGTCGGGGTGTTTTAGGGTTCATCACATTCAGAATCCGGAAAAAGGGGTTCGTTCATTAACTGTGTTCAGGGTGGTAAAAGCCTTGTTGAGAGTAAGGGACCCGCGTGGATCTCTCTTTGTCGGGTTCCCATGGATCCTGCTCCTGCAGTGTTTAAAGGGGGAATCAAAAAGGAGATCCCAAGGAACCGGACACCCCCTTTTTTCCCAACGCTGTCAAAATTCAGGCAATCGCCCCATTTGTGAACCCCAGTTCCGGGCAGCGAGAATAACATTACAAGCAGCTGATTCCCTTCCTTCTGAAGTTCTCTCAAATTTGCTGATTTGTTCGTTAGATGTCCATCTCACCTTTCCTCCAGGGGGGTCAGAGTTGTGCAGATTTCTCCTTCTTCGTTTCTGCCCCCCCAACCACCACCCTGCAGGGTAGGTCGCCCTGAGCGAGTACACGGGATTTCTGACCTGGGTGGTGGAAGCTGAAAAGGTGTGCAAGGAAGCCACACGGCCTCCATTTCCATCTCAGCCGGGAAAGGCCACCAGCGTGCCAAGCTAGCCTTTGGAAAGACTCCTGTGAAACCCCAAAACTTGCTCCTCTCGTTTATGGGAAAAAAGGGGCTCATGCCGTAAAAAGTCCTCATTGCGGTAGCGAAGGAGAAGAGACTTGTCCTCTTCGTCGCGCGAGGACCCCGCTGGCTCCATTCGGCTGGTTTAAAGGA